TTAAATGAATAATTCGCAATATGATTTTTAATAATAATAACACTATATAAATTTTTATTAGATAAATATATAAATTCTATGTATTTATATACTAAAGTATATAAATATACGAATGTTTACTTTAACTAGATTCATAGAAATTAAAAATTCTGCATTTATTAACGCACAAATACAGAAAAGAAGAAATCTGTGTTGCAACTGGTTTTCAGAATCAATCCTGTTATAATATTATGATTATGCAAGCCTATGGCAGTCATTTAAAGATATTGAAAGAGAAAACTCTTAATTTATTATGTTTCTTTGAGAATTTTTTTATGCAGATAAAAGTTTTTTTTCAAATTTTTTGTTTAAATATATCTAACGTGACTGTAACTGAAGAAAGAAGAAAAAAAAGTGTATTTCATTAAGAATTGTTACTTTTTTTTAATTGAATTTTTTATTTCGGATTTCAAAACATGTGGTGTAAAAATTTATTAAAAGTTTATCAATGGTTTTCAAGAAACGTTTTAAGAGATTATTGTATCATGAATTGTCCATTTCAAGAAGTTGAAAAAATTGAAATTAATAAATCACGTATTACTAAAAAATCACCAAGAATACTTATTACAGGTATGTGCATGATTTTAAAATATCAATTAAAATATTTGTTCCAAAATTAATTATTTTTTACAACAAATTTTTATTTAAAAATTTAATATTCTTTACTTTTTTCTATTATAAGGTGGTCTAGGACAATTGGGTACTGAATGTGCAAAACTACTTCGTAAAAATTATGGAAACGAAAATGTAATTTTATCTGATATAATCAAACCGACAGAAGAAAATTTATCAAACGGACCTTTCATTTTTGCCGATATTCTTGATTTTAAAGGACTACAAAAGATTGTAGTAAATTACAGAATTGATTGGCTTATTCATTTCAGTGCTCTTCTTAGCGCTGTAGGTGAACAAAATGTTCCTCTAGCTGTAAGAGTCAATATAGAAGGTAAAATAATCATTGAAGTTCTACAAAATAGATTAGATTGGAAATGAAATAGAATCTCTTATTAAGTGAATCTTATTAAATGTCGTCGTAATAATCATATTATACGGCAATTAATAATTATATAATTATATTATTAATCGTGAAAGAAAGTACATTAGAGAAAGTATATAGCTTTCAAAGAAAGTAGATCTTCAAAGAAAATCTTCATACAAAATTATTCAAAACGTAACAATTTTTTAAAACCTAAATTTTTCATTAAAAAATTTCTGTAAAAAATTAATACTTTATATTAATATTAATATTAATTAATATTAGGAATGCATAATGTTATTGAACTAGCAAAGCAATATAAATTAAGAATATTTATTCCTTCGACAATTGGAGCATTTGGTCCAGATTCACCACGCAATCCTACTCCAAATATAACTATTCAACGTCCACGAACAATTTATGGCGTTAGTAAAGTTCATGCTGAATTATTAGGTGAATATTATCATCATAGATTCGGTCTTGATTTTCGATGTCTTCGATTTCCGGGAGTTATCAGCAGTGATCCACCAGGTGGTGGTACTACAGGTATATATTTTATTATTATTTTGATTTTTTACTGTTATTTATTTTATTGTTTTTTTTTTTTAATTTTAATTTATAATGAATATATTTTATTACAAAAATATTTTCCTACCTCAAGAAATGGAGCATTAGAATAATTGTATAATAATGCAATTTATTGGTCTTTAGGGACAATAGTATGAGTAAATTGTTGAACATCTCTTGATCGCGAACCGTGAGGTTGTTTCTTGCGTTTCCCTTATCTTCTGAAGCGTAAATCTTAAAATAACAGCAAAATAATATTATGAAGAAAATCATATAGTTTGTGATAAAGTAATATTTTTGATATAATTAATAGATTAATTGTATAACTTATTTTTTTGATAGACTATGCAGTAGCAGTTTTTCACGAAGGATTACTCACTAAAAAGTATGAATGTTATTTAGAACCTTATACAAGATTACCAATGATGTACATAGAAGATTGTTTATCAGCGCTTTTTCAATTTTTAAATACTCCAAATGAGAAATTACAAAGAAGAGTATATAATGTTACTGCCATGAGTTTCACACCTGAAGAATTATTTACTGAACTTAAAAAACATGTTCCTGATTTAAAAATTTCATATAAACCGGATGCAAGACAATACATTGGTTCGTATATAACATTTATAATTATTAATCTGCAATATATATAATGAAATAACATATTTAAATTTTAGCTGAAAATTGGCCACAAGTTTTCGATGATAGTGATGCTCGTCGAGATTGGGGTTGGCAACATAAGTATGATTTAGAGAAACTTGTAGAATCAATGGTACGCGATGTAAGGAAAAATTTTTCAAACAAAAGATCATTAAAAGAAGTTAATAGCTATGTATGATATGACTTAGATAATTGATATAATTGATATAAATTATATTATATAATTATCTTAAGATATAAAAATATTATTTATTTTACAACAAAAACAAAATATAAAACTTAGAAAATATATTTTTTATAATTACATATCTTCACTCATTAATTTCTCAATATCTTCATCATTTAGATAATTTTCTATTCTTCTTGGAGTTGGTTTAGATGTTCTAACTGGAGTCATGTTCATTTTATCAATTTTTCTCGATGGTGTAGTATTTCTTTCTGTACTCTTTGGAGTAGAAATATTTCTTGAAGGCGTACTTCTATCAATATTGGGAGTACTAACTCTAGGAGTTCCAACATTTAGCTTTCCAGTTTGAGAAAGTTTTTCTTTATTTTCAAATTCTGTACAAAAAACAAAAAAAAGGGACAAATTTATTTGTTAAATTCATATTTCTTTAATTTAAATCATTATTATACCTGTATCTTTGGTCAATATGGCCCGACTTTCTAGAAAATATCCATTTGGATGAATAATAGGTTTATCTGGCAAACGATTATGTAAAATTTTAAAGTATGCTGTACAAGCACCAAAGTAATTATCACTTTTTGCTAGTTCTGTTATTTCATTAATACCTAAAATAAATAAAATTTTAAATATCATTTCTTACAATAATAAAAAAAACAATATACTTACTTGCTGCAGGTATGCCATAACTAAATAATTTTTGTTTTAATGATGCATTATCCATATGTTTATATGGACAACCATTAAATTCTCCAGGACTTTGAACAGAAGACATAATTTTTTGACATCCGAGAGGAGTGTAATTTGTCTGTCTACCTTCTTTACCATAAGTATGTCTTATAGTATAAGCATATTCCTTATCAAATTTTACTGAATCAATTTTTTTTGTGAACTCTGTTTTCCAAAAGGACAAAGAATCTTCCATTGTTACACCAATACCTTTTATAAATAAACCATATTGAATACGTCCACTGTTTTTTAGATGGTGGTTAGACTTAAGTGCTTCATGTAATATTCTCATGCACATAGGATATGATGTTCTTGATAACTGAAAATTATATATAATATTATTCAAGAATAAGATTATATAAAAAATAAATAAATTACCTCATCTAATTTATCTGTGGGTGTAGCAGAACTAGTCCAAACAACACATGTTTTATCAGAAATATTAGGTATAGATTTAAGATATGATTGTATTCTATCATCACCATGCATACGTATAATAGACATTTTTGCAGCCTGTGCAAAAAATTAAACTAATTATAATCTAAACGACATTTAGTTATGTATACATAATAATAAAAAATAATATAAAATAAAAACTTACTGGCATACCATCAAGCAAGTTTTTTCTAAAATAAGAAAGAAACAAAGATACTAGATCTATTTGTGGTATATATGCTATTCCTTGGTTTATATAAACTCTACGTGATCTAATTAAATCAGTAACTCTATAAAAAGACACTTTATAAAATTCTGTCATATCAATATTTAAAACTTTTATGGATGAAGTAGATAAACGAAGTTCTTCCCTAATTTCATCCTTTTCTTCTTGTGTAATCTTAAAAAAATAATAATATTGAAAATGATCATAAATTTAATAAATTATTTTAGTTCAATTTCTTACCTGCTGACAATCAATATTATGCATACTAAGTAACTTTTCTATTCCTTCTTTATCTAGTGAACTAAATCTTAATTTAAATAATTCTATTTCCTGATTAATAAACCACATCTGACGATCTGATTCTTGACAATGTGATAATCTTGATATAAAATGTGATATATGATCTTTTCTTCTACATTGTAAATCTGTTTCTGTTGGTGATTTGCAACCTTTTGCATATAAAAGATGTGCAAAATATTTCAGACCATCTTTCATTAAAGCTGTATGTAGATTTTGTTTACGATCTTCTTGTGTCTTAAAATCTGTTCTTATTGCATTGTTTTCCACATGTTGTAAAACTATAAAATATGATAATATATACAACTAGTTTTATTCATAATAAAAATTAATAACAATCATAAAATAATAAATCAATTATAATTTTCTATAAAACTTACGTTTTAATCTTTCTCTACCCAATTCCTCAAATTCTGTAAGTGAAATTTCTCCTGTTGGAGGAAAATCATACATGTGCAGGTCATGTTGATAAATATTTTGAAAATCAGAATAATCAATATTATTTCTAACATTAATTGTATAGCGTCTTCTTTTAGTATATTCCATTTTTTATAAAAAAATGTATCCACTTTTCTTTTATTTTAAATACATTTATAAATGACAGATCGTTCAAATAATTTTTTTATATGAGAAAATATTGTATAACATCTACAGTACCCAAACAATTAACAATAAAAAATAAACATGTATCTACTTAATATTAATTTATTTATGCATATACAACTATTGCCAACACATTTTGTAAAATGTAAAAAATCTAATATTTCACAAGAAATCTTAAGCCGCCATTACTATCATACTATCTTTCCCGCGCTTTTTTCCCGCTATTTCCTTACAAAAATAGTTTAACGATTTATATACCATTCATATGTAAGTATATATATTAGTTTTTTTTTTTAAAAACAATATCAATATATATTTATTAAAACTTAGTATATAATTCATCAATATCTTTTGATATGGTAAAATGAATTCTTGGTTATAATATAATATACAATAAAATAATACGTATATATATTAAAAAGATACTACTATACATCATTGAATAAATCTATTATGGTTTAATATGTTTATGTACTATTGCAGTAGAAATATTTTTCAATTGAAGAGGCGCTAAATGGCCATCGGCACTATCAAAATTTTGTACATAAAGTTCTTTTACTTGAAGATTGAAAAATTCCATTCTATTTTTTATAGGAGATATAGCTCGAAATTCATGAATAGTAATATCATTTCTATTAATAATTTGTTTATCAAGAAAATTAACTTGATTCGGATACATTGAATCTCCTGGTAAAACATGTACAATCCCATCCAATAATTCTACTTTTACCTAATATAACAGATATGTCATTAAAATTACTTTTTAATATATTTTTTAAATGTTTTTTACATACTGGCATATTTAAGAGCACTCCTATTTTACTCCTATCAATTGCAAAATCCAACAAATTGTCTATGCTTTCGAACTTTGCTATTCTTGCAATTTCATATTGTTGTGGTGGTGGAAATGCAATTTTTGGAGTTGAAAATAAGAAATTTCCGGGCATATCCCACTAAAATATCCCATTTAATATTATTATAATTTTTAAATATAAATAATACATTCAAATAAATTATATTATTCATATATTATTAAAACAACTTTACTTTCAAATCTTCTATTTCTGTTGGCTCATGAAAAGTTTGAGGTAAAGAAGAAACACAAGCTAAATAAAAAGCAGTATTATATCGTCGTCCAGTAAAGTAAGTCGGTGTTAACCAATTGCTCCATTCATAAAGAGACCATAAATCTGGATAACAATTAAAATTTTCACACAATGTATAAAATTCTCTAGCATCATTATGTACTCTTGTTTGCCAATTATGCAATTCACTTTTAGAAACTGTATAAAAAAATTTTAAATTTTATAATTATTATTTATTTATTTTAATGAAATAATTTTTTATTTTGTAATATTTTCACAAATATTTTAAATTTTAATCAAATAACTTTTTATGTGCTGTGCCCAACCAAAAGTATCTTCTCGAGATTGTTTGCAAATGAGTATACCACATTCTTCAAAAGTCTCACGAATTGCAGTAATGCGTAAAGAAATTTCTTTTGGCAATTCATTCGATTTAAATTGGAAAATTTGAGGACGAATAGAAGTATTTGGAGTCAGAGATGTGAAACTATTAGTATCAAAACCGAAGGTAGAAAAAAGATCATGCCATTTTAAATCAGCATCGGATGGATCTATTATTCCTCCAGGAAATACATATGTACTCGGTAAAAATTTTGAATTTTGATGACGTTTCAGGCATAGTAGATTGTAATTATACTGAAACTAATAATATTTGTTAAACTTTTAATTACTATTTATATTGTAGTTAATTTTCTAATTAAAAACATAATAACAATTTAAATTCTCGCGCGTATTCGGCGTATGATTCGATTATCGATATTATTATATTTTCTAATATTAAATTAGTTTATATTTTATTATTATTTTTTTTTGTTATAATAACACAAAATAATCAATATATTTATCTAAATAATAAAGTTCTTAATCAAATATATTTGACATATTACTTACATTTGTCAGTGATGAACGTATATATTTTTGACGTGCCGTTAGTATTAAACTTACAGATTCTTTCCAAGCCTTCATTTTTTTATTTAACGTATTTAAATTTTATATTATAAATTGTTATTAAATGTATCTAAGTTTTATAATATTTGCAATTTATAAAAAATAATTGACATAGTTATAATTCCGTAAAATGTACTTATAACCTAATTGAATAAATATACCTCCATATTTAGATTTCAACATTAATAAAAAAAAAATGATTAAATAATATAACGATTGTATATATATATATATATATATATCAATATACATATATTCATCGATGTTGTTTTGTTCTAAATTATTATTAATTTACTTAATTATTAACTGCATATTTTCAATACTTTCTATATTTGAAGAATTATTAATTGTTATTAAAATTATATTTTTAATCATATTTAAAAATTGTTTAATTCTTTTATAACTTTTTATTTATATTTATATATTTAAAATAGAACATTAACATTTTATATTATTATGTATCAATATAATAAACCTATTGTTTTTGTACAAATTTATCAAATATTGTTGTCAATATTATTAGAAATTTTTGTTCAAATATAATAATTTATAATTTTTATACATGATATTACATTGATCATATTAATAAATTATATCAATAATACATTATATATAATATTATATCTTTAATATTATTAATATACAATATACTTTAGAAAGAATAAATTATGTGTCATCTATATTTTTATTGATTTTACCAGTTGATGCAATCATTAATTCATATAATTGATGTAATTGTTCATCTCTAAATTTGTTAAAATCTTCTTCTTTTAAATTTTGACCTAAAGGTTTAGCTGTATGTGGTCCCTTTAATCCAAGTTGTTTTGTAAGCATTATAGCATACTCCTATAAAATGAAATAATTTTATTATTCATTTTATAAATAAAAACTTTTAATATTTTAATAAATATAAAATATTGTTTTATTTTATATTTATTAATTTATATAATAACAAAAATGAACATAACCTAATGATGTTAAAAGATTAGATTGAATTTATAAAATCTAATGTTACTTACTGTCCATTCATTCATAAATATAATTGCTATATCTTCGTTACAATTTTTATGTCTTCTAAATTCATCTCGAACGTAATTCGTTCCTAAGACTTGAATTTCAGATGGTAAACCACGATGTAACCTTAAAATTGTTTTGTACAGTATTCTGACACGCTGTACATGAAATAAATTGCTCATAATTTATTTATTAAAGAATGTATACATGCTAACGGATTGATATATTTTTTTCACTATTACACTTTATTAACAGATAAATTAAATTAGAAAAAATTTTAATAGAATCTCGCACCAAATATTATATATTTTGATGCATGCGATGATGAGTATGAAAAAGGAAAGAAAAGTTATATATACTCGCATTCATAATATTAGATTTTATATTAGGATATTAATTCTATTTTGTTTAAATGTATTGTTTCACAAGTTCATATACACAAGTTGAATTATGAAATTTGATAAATATTTATAAATATTTAACATATATTGATATGTCATATATTTATCATATATTTATAAGTATATGAGGAAATTAAAATAATATTAAAATAATATTTTATTAAAATAATTAATATAACATAATAAAATTAAAATTATATAAAATTTATTAATATTATTAATATTAATTAAATTATATAAAATTTTTTAATTACTTAACATCTTGTTATGTATACAATCTTGTTTAAAATATAAAATATTATGTATTTTATTATATAATATTATAGGAATTTTTTCTTGTTTTCAAAAATTTTATCAAGACAATAACTTCTTAAAATAATAAAAAAACTTGAAAATTTAAATTATTAAAACTAAACTTATATATTTATTTATATCTTTTTTTTTACAATATTTATTATATTTTTCATAAGAAATTTCATAAAAACTATTGATGTTTATTTAAGATTTATTGTGATGAATTGATTTTCTAAATTATATTATAATGATTTATTATGATTTTGTCTATATTTTTAAACAGAATCCTTTACAAAAATTTTAACCAATAGCAATTATTGAATCTTCTTACCAATCACCTGTCTTCTAAGATCCTTTAATTTATAGTGTAATAAATTTTTATTAATTTTTTAATTTAATAAAAAACAAAAGAATATAAAAATATTTTGAATGAATTATTATAAAAAATGCTTTCTATTAATTTTTCATGTATAAAAATTGTTTTATAATTTTTATAATATTAAATTTTTTTATATTTTACCGTATATTTTATGAACTATTTTGCGAAGGAAATGACTTCCGCGCGCGTTTTGACCAATCAGAAACGTTTATCTTTTCTTCCCAATTACGTCAGTATTGTTGAACATTCGTCGTTGTACCTTCGTCCTGTTAAGACGCTTGCGTAGTGAGTTCGTTTTAATTTTCAATTTTATTTTTTGTAAAGTGATTTAAGTGATTATAAAAAGAAGAAAAGACTTATTAACAATTTTAGGTAAGAAATTTTATATATGAAACTTCTTTTTTACGTAAAACATAACTTACATAAAACTCTTTTATTCGAACAAAAAAATTCGTAATATCTTCAATTCGTTTTCCAATTTTTTTATTATACAAAAGTATAATTTTTATAAATTTCTTAATTTTTAATTTTTTTTAATAATTTATACTTATTTTTGTATAAAATATATATATTTAGAACGATTAGAGCGTAAAATTCTAAATTAGGTATATTGTTTAAACTAACGTCTACGGGGTTCAACACCCCTTTTGCACGGAAAAGTCATTTTGGCCATTTGTAAATTGTTAGCTTTAATAATCTTTTATGCTTTGACCTCCATTTTGAAAAGTATTTTTTAGTAAATGACCGTGAATTTTCTTCTTTAATTATATTTTATGATGAATTTTTATATTTTACAATGAAAAAAGAAATATAACAAAATACTTTATTGTTTTTTGTTATAGAATTATGAAATTGGAAACTCTTGTTGAAACTACGTATTGAGATTGATAAAGTATACTTTTATAACAATTTCATTGAAATTGCTGTATATATGTGAGTAAAAAACCATAATTTGAGAAATTTGTAATATAAACAATATTAAATTGTACTAATTATAAAAATTTAATTTTTCATGTATTATTGAATAATTTATATCGAATATAATTTTTATATCAAAAATATTTTTTCAATTTTTATATAACTTAGGTGGATTTTTCATGTTTTCTTAAATAAAATAATAAATTAAATATTTGCTTTTCGGCAAAATAAATAATTTTTAAGAATGATCTTTTATTATTAAAATAAAAATATAAAAGCAATGATGATTTTTTTTATATTTTCATATTAATATTTTAATATATTTTTCATATTAATATTTTAATATATTTTAAAAGAAAAGTATTTGAAAAAAATTTGTTCTTTTTTTTTATTTCCCTCTTGTTCCCTTTTTAATACTTATTTCTTTCAGCAATTTTGTGATCGCGCGCAATGCGATCTTAGAGACAGTGTTTGATACGCAGTATAATATTATTTATTTAAACATTATATAACTTATATTTTTTAATTAAACGTAAAAGTAGAGTCAGTGTTTGTTTATTGTTCAATATTTTATTTTATCGCAAGTTCATAAAAATTTCGGTTATCGTGAAATTAGAATAAAATCTGACTGAGGAGAAGATCTCCTTCGGGCCATGGTGAAAAGAAGAAACGTGTAAGTATTAAAAAGTAGCATAACTTTTCAAAATATTTAATTAATTTTATATTATCTAATTGATTTTTTGTTTTAATCTATTTTAGAAAAAGAATAAACAGAAATTCAACAAATATAGATTAATAATAATCACAATGCTGTGCTACATGACTATATTTGTAAGTTTATTTCTTTATAAATAATATAATAATCAAAATCATTTTAACTATGTTGAGTCTTTTAAAAATAAGATTAACATAATTTTGAATATTTTTACTTTAGAAGATTACTTTAGAAGATTTTTATTTTACATTTTTCCCTTATTTCTGATCCAGTGTTTACAAGTGCACCTGTAGACTTATCTCAAATTTCAACCTTGACAAGGAGCATCAACCGTTTGTTATGGCACTGTATACATGCATTCAACGAACGGTGAGTCAATACATATTTCAATTTATACATATTAGTTGCATGTGAGCATAGTGATTACGAAAATAAGATTTTTGTTTTATATATTAATATTTATTTGTTTTTTTGTATGTATGATTGTGTTTTGTATGTATTAGTTTAGGTTAGAATCTTCTTGTTTCTTTTATGAAGTTTATTATAATAGAGTAGAAGTCGGATGATCCTCCGATTTCACAATATTTCAAATATTTATTTTTTATTTTTTTAAATTTATAATTTATAATGAATATTTTATAATAATTTTGCTTTATAGTAAAAAAGTAATATTATGGTTTCATATATAAAATATGTAAAATGATAATATATTATCACAAACAAGAAGATAATTCGCGATGGTTAGATTCTAATAACGAAGTAATAATTAAATATTCTTAATATATATATATATATATATACATATTTCATGATTTTGAAATATTTACTTCGTGATAGGATCGACCAAGGGTATAATAAAATAAAATAAAGAATAAATATCAATAATTAAATAATATATATATTTTTACAATTGTTTAGATTTTTTTAATAAATTTTTAATAAATTTTTAATAGATAATTTTTTAATAAATTGGCATTTTTATCTTTTTTAAATATTTCTAAACAAAAATATTTCGTAAAAATAGAAAATTAGCTCGCTTAGATATATTATTAATGATTTTTTTAGCTTAGGATTTTCAGCATGCAATAAAGGTACGTGGTAATTATTGTTGTCGTGTTCATTTCTTTTTACCTAAACTTATAAGCGGGCTCAGGTGCTTCTCTTATGAGTAAAGGTGGTGGACACGATTTAATTATTAATATTTATTTTTGGCGACTGACAATTTTTAGCGTTTGTGCACGATGTAAATTTCATAAGTATGAGTGTGGAATTTGTTAAGTTTATGAGATTTGCATCGAATAAAATAAAATAATTAATTTAAAATGATAATGAAAAAACAAATATAAATGAAATTTGAATTTAAAGAATTCAAATTCTGAAATTTAACATTTGAATAAAGATTATAAAACATTTTCTTAAAAAATATATGTATTTATACATATCATAATATATATATATATAATAATTTATGATGTATTAAATGTATGATTCCATGAATAAATAGAAATATTATATTATGATAAAAATATAATTTATCATATACAAGTCTATAGAAATACATAAAGAATGTAAATTCAAAATGAACTGATGGAATAAGATGAATATTTAATGAATATAAATGAATACTTAACGCAATATTCGCTAATGTTGTCAGTCGATTTCAGATATTGGTACGTATCTTAGTGTATGAAAGGTTGTATGCTATAAGCTCGGGTGACGGAGGCGTCCCGGGACGTATCTCCCTAGTGTAGGCATTTGCACCCGGGTGTTATGAGAGAGAATCGTGGTATGAATGTATTGGTATGAATGATTTTGCTAATTCTTTTTAAATATAGAGTTAGGTAGGTAGGTAGTATTCTGGTATGAATGATTTAGATTATAAGTAGGTAGGGCCAGGAAAAGCAGATTATCGCATTTCTCATTTCGGGTAGGTTATTTGGTCGCACGATATATCTGCACCTGGGATTCAATTAGAATCAATTAATTTTTCATTAATTGATTTTAATTATTTGATATGGTTCGTACCTAGTTTTTAAGTACGTTCGCGGTTCTAGACCCGAACGAAAAATGAAGTATATATGTGAAAGTGATTCTTGTTAAAAATTCGTATGCAATATTAAAATATCAGCTATTCTTCTAATAGTTGATCGTGATATGATATATATAATTTATAATAGTTTTTAATCAAAATTAAAAATAGTGAAATAATATAGTGGGGTTAATGCAAGAAACCCGAAGAAAGGACTAAAAGCTGAAGATTTTAAAGAATGCCTTTTCATCATTTAATGGAAAGCCATTCTTAAAATTACTAAGGTATTTATTAATTTATTATTGCATTTTATTTATTATTCACTATGCTCACAATATGTATCGATACAAAATAAGCATGATATAATTATTACTGACATAGAATAAAATAGTTTGCAAAAATCATTTTTCAAAATAATTTATGATTACATTTCATTTGTTATTATCAATATGTATCGATACAATATAGGCGTGATATAATTGTCAGTGATATGGATTAAAATTATTTGCAAAAATCATTTTTCAAAATAATTTTTAATTCAAATAAAATTTTCTAAGATTGAAATTTAAATGAATTAATTATTATGAATTGATTATAATATTTTTTTTAATTTTTTTAAAAAAATTTATAATAATTGTTGAAAAATTTTTAGAATACTGAAAATATTTTTATAATAAAATAATTATAAAAAATAGATAGGTGAATATGAATATAGAATAAATATGAAATGAATTGATTTTAAATTAAAAAAAAAAATCATCATTGCAATAATAGCTTTAACAGTAAATTTTTAATGAATAACTATTAATGACTTTTTCAATTAATACTTTAATATGTTATGTACATGAAGATATATTATAATTATAAATATTGTATTTTATTATTACAATAATTTAATTATAATAATTATTATTTAAAAAATATTCTTCAAAATATACTATAAACATGAAAAATCTTTTTCTACAATTAAATTTATTTAAGATATTTTTGTAATATGTTATTAATTATATCTTAATTGTGTTATATAATACATATAATTTAAATTAATAATGTAAAAGAAATTTTTTTTTGTTTTATTTTTTTCATATTTTTTTCATTGATTTTTTATAATCAATTTTTCTCTGTTTCAGTTTATATATGATTATTTCTTATTTTTATCTTTTTAGCTTTAATAAACATCATCATTTATCTGTTTCAGGTTTTTCATAAAAATTATAGGTAAAAATATAAAATATTCAAAATTTCAAATATTAAAAATATTAGCTTTTCAAATAAATTTTAATTGTTTAATATTTAATAATATGTAAACATTAATTATAATACGTTCTTATATATTTTCTCTCAAGAAGATTTTTATGTATTTAAATTTTATAATTTAAACACATTGTTAAATATATTATTAATTTATCTTAATGATTTATATTAATGAAATTATTATTATTGTTTTTATTATTATTTTTTATTTTACATAATGTCTCACTATTGTTAAAAGAAAAGTTTTAAATATTTGTATCATATAATATATATTTTTCTGTTTCAGAAAATATTTTACTCAAGTATTATTTTTTTTTTTCAAATTGATTTTTACTGTTTCACTATTATTAAGAAGTTTTAAATATTTGTGTTATATAAAATAATATATATTTTTCTGTTTCAGGAAATATTTTGTTCAATTATTATTCTTTTTCTACTCAAATTCGTTTTTATTTTATTATAAGAATTGTATTTTTAATAAATTTATATTTATTTGTTCCAGATATCATATTATAAAGTAATTATATATAAAATTAGGTAAATATATATAAAATTTCAAATATTAAAAATATTGGTTTTTAAATGTTTTATATGTTTTATTTTAAATGTATATGAAAACTAATATATACATGTCTTTCTGTTTCAGGAATTATTTTTTTAATATCAATATTTTAGGTTTAATTATTTTATATTATATTATGCAATTATATAAATCGAATTGAATAGAATATTATTTAAACTTTAAATATCTTTAAGTACTTAATTTCTTTTTTTATATTATATTATAATTATGAAGAACTAACATTTTAAAATTAACATGATTTTTAAAAAGTTATCATCAACTTTAATTTTGGAATATTAATTATCCTCTGGACACCTGGCATCTTGAACTTCCTGCAAGATTAAAAGATTGAGTTGCAATTAATTTTAACAATTTTAAAAGAAGAAATAAGAAATATGAATAATAATTATACCCGGTTCCGTTTTTCTCCATATTTCGACCAAAATGTAACTTTACACGAAGTCTTTTGTCCAGTTTGTTTATTGAAGACCGAACACGAAGAAAACGGTGGTGAATATAAATGTAATGAAACAGCAGGATTTACAGTACTCGGATTTTCAACTCGATGAAGTCCTAAGGAATCTATAAAAGGTACGTCGCCCTTTTATCTACTTATTCTTAATAATATTACACGATTATATATTTATAAAACCGTACCATTGATATAACATATTTCATTGAGACCAAGAGTATTTCTTTCCAATTCTTGTAATTCTTCTGATTCTTCCATTTCATTGTTACTTTTAGGCCATGCATATCGTGTCTATGGGAATAATTAGGTTAAAAAAATTGTTCATTAAAAATATATATATATAAAATAAAATATTTCATTTAATACCTCACATAGTTCACCTTGAAGAATTTTCATTATACAATGTGCATTTGCATGATCATGTATAGCTGAACCATGACCTTCTCCCCAACATAGAACCATTAGATTAAACCTTCCATTTCCTTCATCGACTAAATTCCTTGTATATCTAAACACAGTGATTCATTTAGTTGTTTTTTTTTTTTAAACCTTTTATGTATAATTAAATTTTATTAGTATTAGGATGAATCACATAAAACTAAAAAATAAAATTCATTAGAAGGTAGTGAATTAGACTTATCGAGTACATAGTTAAGCATAGATATTTTTTTTTAAATCTTTTGGAACGTTTCATTGTTCGTTGCTTTCGATCCGGTGTCGTGTGTCAAAGAACCGATGTTCTGAATCAAGTGTAACGTAAGTTAAAAGAGGGGGGCATACGTGGAAAGTGTGTATAACCAGCCGTTCACCGTACAAACACTATTGATTCATGCAATACACATGGACACTAAAGTGTTCCGCATACTTAGGTTTTGGTTGCAACGATTTTAAAACTTTTTGATCATGTCTTTAATTGTAGATCGTATTTGAAAAAAACGCAAGAAAAAAAATAATGTTTTTATACAGAGAGTAAATAAAATTAAATTATTATTGCATTTATTGCATTATTAAGCAGCTAATAATGAAATATTAAATGTTTATAAAATATTTTGACGAATTTTTATAATCTTTATTCGTTTTTTATTGGTTCGATTAATTTGTTTTATTATTCTTCTTTTTAAATGTCCTATATACTATGTTGTGCATGAAATATAGTTTCATACTTTCGCCACTTTGTCATGTGGAAATCGACATGTTAGCAATTTAGTGTAATAATGCCATATAGTCATATGTTTTATAACATTGTCATTATTATTTTTATAATTAATAAAAAAATATTCATTCAAATTTAGTATATTTTATATGAATAAGAAAAAAATTCAT